TGCGTTCAGCAGACTCAACAGTTTTGCAACCGTTTTATGATTGTCTGCTGAGATAGGACCATTCTTCTAGATCTAAAAGTTTGATCCAATTAGCGCGAAGGAAACTTACAACAGTTGCAAAACAAACGTTCTGCTGAACGCACCCATTCTTTGATTAGTCAATTCGTAAAATTCTTTGTTCTGATTGGTCGCGCAAACGCTTCGAAGTGTTTGTAGCATCAAGTGGACCGCAGCCTAAAACACTACTATGGCTACGTTTCAAAATTCACTGTCAGCTCTGAAAATCTACAGTTTACGTTACGTATACTATATATTTTCAGCACTGGTAGTGACTTTTGGAACACATCCTATATGTATATTTTTCGATGAGTTTTAGAACGCATGTAAAGATGCGGCCACAATAGAAGGAATAACGACTCCATCCTATCAGAAACTGTGTATTCCGGTGTATCAGATATCTGTTAGGTTGAAATTTTTATTCCTTATTTCTAAGGCACTAGATATGTAGGTATTCCTATTCGCCATTTTGGTTCTACTTGATTGTCATAGTACGATTAGTGAAAAAGGTAAATATTAATTAAGAAGAGCCCGCTCACCTCAAATTTTGATAAAAATACATTGAATCGATGCGTTTTCGAATAAAAATAAAGATTTGACAAGAAAAAAGTGTCGCTCTGTTCCGCAAACCGAGATATTAATCCTTAAAGTGAACGACTATTCGGATTAGGAAACCTGTCATAGCAGTGATTCACTGCGTAAAAACACAAATTCACTGTTTTTAAAATACAAATTCACTACTTTAGCAGAGAATTTGTGTTTTTAAAGCATAGTGAACCACTGTTATGACAGATTTTTTAACCCGAATAGTCGTCGACTTTGAGGATTAATATTTCTGACTCCTTTTACACCGTTAAATCAGTTAGTACGCATATCAAATTGATGCGGATTAAATATTTGATACGTCCTTATTTACACCGATCTGCTTCAGAACGGATTAGGTTATGTAACATTGATGTCTTCACTGCTTTTCAAGTAAAACCTCTAATTCTAACTTTAACCTGAACTTAAAAAATAGTGACGAATTTTAATATACGATCTAAAACGAACCAAGCATTTACAGCACGCTGAGATTCTTTGATATCAATTGATACGCGTACCAGCTTGGTCTGAAACCATCTGATAGTCATGATTCAGAAGTATCAGACCAAAATAATCCACCAGCGTTTATTACCTAGTTTACATCGTGCACTTGATACGGATACTAACTAGTAACTTTCTATTGAATTACCTTAATTTCGGCAAAACGTGTAAACATATACATGATATGTGTATTTAATTATAATCATTTTGATGTATGTACCAATTTAGTACATCATTCTTTAAATACATTGCTGAAATTAAAAGTATCAAGCGTAATCAATTACTGAAATCAAGCGTATCAAGTAATTTGGTGCGGATATGATACTTAATACGCGTATCAAGTGCTCGGTGTAAACTAGGCCTCTATTCGCAGAACAGAGACACTTTTTTCTTGTCAAATCTTTATTTTTACGCAAAAACGCATCGATTTAGTGTATTTTTATCAAAATTTGGGCTTTTCTTAACATTTACCTTTGTCACTAATCATACTATAACCTATCAATCAAGTGGAATCAAAATGGCGGATGAGAATACCTACATATCTACCCAGACAGCACAGAATATTTATGATAAATATTTATTAATATTCATTTTTTGAAATGTTATATACATATTTCATACATATTTTATATAAAGCTTTATTCGAAATATTA